GATAAAGGTTTTACATAAACAAAGAAAGACTGACCATTAAAAGCACCCCTTTAATGGTAAATGCTTTGTCTCAATCCCTGGACAAGCTTGCCGCACAGCCTGGTCTGTTACAGGAAGTTGAAAAAAAAAAAGATTAAAAAAAAAACTAATGCAGCCACCACATCTAGCTGCAATATGTTACATGTTTTTGGGTTTAATACCACTTTAAATAGAGGTAAAACTAAATGATCGTACCTTAGTGAAAATAACATGGAAACACAAAAAATAACCAAGAAGATACATATCACCTGTAAATCTTTCTAAACAATGTCAAAATTGAAACAATAGAGAAAAAAACATTGATTGAATAGACTAGTGTTGATTAAATGACCCATAGAAGTAATTTTCCTTCCATCACAAGCAGTACGTAAGAGTGATACCTATAACGGTACCTATACAAATTAGATTAGTGCTGCACAGCTGGTGTCTCAATGTCCTCATGTGGTCCTTTTTGTCTCCTCTTGCTGCCTCTGGGTAAAAATGTCATTTCATTTATGAATTTTCTTTCCACCCTTCATTCTCAGCTCTGTTTGTGGAGAGTGAGGTGAAAGCCTATAATTCATTCATATTAGACATCACTGTTGCTGTATTATTAATGTGGGCTCTACAAATGCCACTAGCTTATTACAGGGCATTAATGTCAATTACTAAACAGTATTACCACTACTGCTTTTCATCCATCTAGACATGTTGGCTGATACATTTAACACCTCTGTTTATTTTTCTTTTAAATTGTAACAAGACAGTCTTTGTAGGGGTCCAGGACCACACGCTGTGGTCCTTAAAGTGACACTAAACAATATGCTTACTCTTCAAGAATAAGCCATGCAAATCCATTGTTCTTAGTGTGGTTTTCTACCATTCTCAGTGAGCTCCTGAAACTCTCCTTTTTCCCTCACTTCCCTTTCTATGAATGAGCAGTGCATGTTGCAGTTGCATTCATGTGAACTGCTCTATGCACACTACATATCTCATAATCCATAATCAGCAGTCCATCTCGGGAAAGAGCAAGATAGGGTGACTACGTTCCTACATACAGTGGGACCCTGGAGAACGAATATAGTCACCTCTAATCGAAAGTCAGGTCATAGCATAAGCAAGCAAAAAAAAAAGAACTAAATTGGAGATTTAGTAGAGGCTGACAGCAAAAGAAGGCACACATCTGAGTTAAAGAAGAATTCCAGGCATCAGCATGTTGTACATAGTTGCAGTGGTCCAACTTGGTCCAATGTAGCTGTGTACGAGACATACAGGGGTTTATTTACTAAAGCTGGAGAGTCCAAAATCAGACTCCCTTCTGCATAGAAACCAATCAGCTTCCAGGTTTCATTGCCAAAGCTTCATTGAACAAGCTGAGGTTAGAAGCTGATTGGTTTCTATGCAGAAGGGAGTCTGATTTTGGACTCTCCAGCTTTAGTAAATAAACCCCATAGTATCTGGCCAATAAATATAAAAATAATCCCCCTGCGCTCCACTGGTATGAACAAACAAAACCCCAAATATATGCAAGCTGCTACCACCTATTCCCAATACCAAAGGATGTATAACGTAAAAAAAAACAATGTTGGTGAAGCGCTTCACATAAAGAACTAAATATATAAAGTACACTGATATAAAAATATAAAATGCATATAAAGTGACTATGCTGTATTGAAAGATACAAATGACTAGTGCTAAGTATTCCCCCCCCAAAAAAAATATATAAGTGCCAAGTGCTGAGAGTGCAAGACAGGTCATGCGTTTGCTGACTAGATCGTGCCAAAATACAATATAATCAAAGTAAAAGTAATACACAATGACATTGCACACTCTAACTGAAAGTGACAGGTGCTCAGTATGAATATAAATGTTGGTTAAAGATAAAAATCCACAATAAAGTGCAATAACAAGTGCTTGACATTTCATCTGCAAACAAACACCGCAATGTCAGTGCTTCAATTCTTCACTCTAAACATGATGCGTGTTAGCATGCCACACGTGTATATCGTGATCCAAAAGTGGCTAAAGTGCCTCCTCACCTTAACCATGTGACCCCTAAGGGCTACAATGCTTTAAGTAATAATGCTCCACCAGACTGGGAATCTCTGTAATAATACTCCTGTAGTACCACTCAGTCTTCTCTGCCAGGTCACTTATGCCCTCAGATGGTAATACCCCCAGGATTATCACAAGGCCATAGAGAGGTAGACGAAGAGAGCCTCCATAGTGAAATACTGTTTATTCCATATAGCAGATGAAAACAAGCCAAAAGAGAACACTCACAGTATAGCAGATCTCATCCAGCAGGCCTACCATGTGCTGTGGGTGTACTGCAAGGTGCTGGGTGTCCAAAGATGGCGTCTGCAGGATGTGCGTAACCGGAAGTACGTCACCACGCTGTACGCGTTTACTCCGCGATGTCACGTGGCTTCGTCGGGGCTCTGGCAGTGCTTATCCTGTTCCTCCTTGCACAAAGGAGCAGATACTGGTCCTGTTGATGGGTTAAGGACCTTCTACAGCCCTGTCCAGCTCTCCTAGAGTAACTGCCTGTCTCCTGAAATCTTTTCCATGCTCTTGAGACTGTGCTGGGAGACACAGGAAGCCTTCTGGCAATGGCACGTATTGATGTGCCATCCTGGAGGAGTTGGACTGCCTGTGCCACCTCTGTAGGGTCCAGGTATTGCCTCATGCTACCAATAGTGACACTGACCCTAGCCAAATGCAAAACTAGTGAAAAACAGTCAAAAAAGATGAGTAGGGAAAAAAATGTCAGTGAACTCCACCTGTAAAATCATTCCTGTTTTGGGGGTCATCTCATTGTTGCCCATCTAGTGCACCTGTTGTTAATTTTATTAATACCAAATCAGCTGAAACTGATTAACAACCTCCCTGCTACTTAACTGACCAAATCAATATCCTAGGAGTTTAACTGAATTGATGTTATACTCTGATTAAAAAGTGTTTCTTTAATTTTTTTGAGCAATGTAGTTACTCAGCTGAGCTGCACTTCACATGCTCATTGTCTTTACTGAACACATCAATGAGACACTACTTAGTTTATGACTTTTACTGAACAACAAAACAGTTTACAGTGTAAACAGCAATTTATAATGTACAAATTACTGCCCATAAACCTGGATAAACTAGGTCCAAAAATATTGCAGAAGTCACCAAAAACATGGTTATAATCGTTTAGGCTAGGTTCACATCTGTGCAGGTGGTGCCGCTGCGGGACCCGCACAAATACCTGCAGCCGCAATTCCCACACAGAGGAATGCGTTACCTGTGGGTAGGCCCACACTGGAAATTGCAACCATACTGGGAACCTCGGTTCACATGCAGTCTTCAATTTCCAAAGAGTGCAGGCACTTCTTCCCTGCGTGTCCCGGGGCACGGGAGTCCATTCAAATGAATGGGCTCTTGTGGCTGCGCAAATTGCGGCCCGCACAGCTGCACATACCGTATGTGATCCTGGCCTTATATCTGTTCCCATTTTTAGGGTGTCAACGGAGAGTGCTTTGAATTGTACCAAGGTTATTGTCCTGATACATCTGTTTCTCCTTAGCCTATTGGCTTGTTCCCCAAAGGGCTCTTACTGCTCCATCTCTCTCTATTTTCTTGGGGACAACCCAAAGCCTAACTCCTCCCTACCCTTATATATAGAAAGTAGGTGGGGCCCTTCCCCAAGAAAGACAGGGGACTTAAATTGGAGCCAAAACCTGCTATCCTTTACAGCCAAGAAAGCTGCCATCTTAGCCCTGGTTTGATCTGTAGTTGCCATGGTGCTACGCATTTGATCAGCTATGACACCAGCCATTTAATGGGCTGACATTTCAGTTGAGTGCACAAGCAATTGTGACAGTTATCATTCATGACATTCCTTGAGTGTAACTGTTATGAAAAACCCTGCAATCTTTTACAGCCAAAGACAGCGCCATGACTATTTTTTGATTTGTATCCGCCATGTGGCTGGACATATGATCAACTATCACATCCATCATTTGAGGGCTTGAAAGTTCAGTTGAGAGTTGACATAACCTTACTGGTAACTGTGACAGTTATTAAGGAAAGACTTCCCACGTTTCAAATATCCACAGAAGGCAAGATATTGATATTTTTATGTCAGAGAAAAATATGAAGTGTAAGAAAGTGAGTCATGTATTTTATCTACCTAATTTCCGTTCAAGTAATTTGGCTTTGCTGGAAGGTGGGAGCCCATGTAGAAGGCTTGTGTAATATGATGGTGCTCTATAAATACGGGTAATAAATCATATTATGCCATTTGGCCATGACCCTCATTATACCAGCTGTATTAATTGGACATGCCCTGAGCACATCTAGCTGCATTTGTGGTCTGCCCAGCACTCGTTACACCCAGTAATTATTGACGGATCCTGCTTTTAGACATTTATCCAGATACCATAGTCCCAATGTACATACAAGGCAGTTTGAATTTGATCTTATTGTTTGGTATGCCCTAAAAAGAAGTAAGACAATTTTCATTTTTACTCCAATTTTACTCTAATTTATGTTCCAATGCATTACATCTTTTTATACATTGTGGTGCAAAGTGAACTTAATGATATGCAATTTGCACCACCCCCCAACTCTGTAACCATGTTTTGGAATACTTACTTTGAAATGTAAAACTGACTGTATTCCCTGATACTTTATTTTATTAAAGTTGATTTGGAATGTGAAAAGAAATTTTGTGAAATTTCAATAAAATTAATAAAAAGAAGAAAAAAGTAAATAAAAGAAAAAAAAGGAAAGGTACACAGTAGGATGCATTGTAATAACAAATCACACTGCCCCTGCACAATGCACACCAGAAAGCATGCCTTATACAGAATATAACCTGCATCTGCTGGTGTGAATGAGCCCTCAATGTAGTATTGTATATCTAAGCACCATATAATATGACAAACAGATTTGTTTTCTTCTATTTATTGATTTGTAACAATGGATTTGCTCTCTTGCAGACAAAACTGTATTGAATTCTATGGCCTATTTTTGATTGACCTTTGGACTGCGGGTTGGTTCTTTAACCAAGGTAAATTCTATATATGCTTACATAATTTGTATCTGATTTTGCATGAATCTCAATCTCAAAGCATTATAACGAATATAGAATAGCGAAGAGTGATAAATGCTAGGCAGAGTTTGGTATGACTGTGAACAAATCAATGTGAAAGATGATTCTTTGGCTATAGCACCCATACTTTCCTCTCCTCTGCTGACCAGGTCTGATGATGTACCCCCTGCATCATGTACCAGTGTTTGGGTCTGGTCATTGTCACTAAGGCCCAAGCACTGCATTATGGGAGGGAGTCACATGCTCTGCCCCTCCTGGATGGAACTATTAATTTTGCCATGACTGAGAGAAATGAGGGAGGAACACTGAGAAGGTGAGAATAAGTGGGTTGGGGCTGGTCTTTAAAGTGCATTTCCAGTTTTGCAGTCAAATTGGGATAACACCATGTTATATTTGTAGCATTTCCCTACTTGCACAGCAGAACGTAAAACAAATATATTTTTAAAATGGCATCTTACTTTTTTGAGATGCTCTATTCTGGATCCTCCAGCAATGAAAAATCCTATATAGCTCTTTGTTTATGAGGGTGATGGGCAGCTATGTTTGCCATAATTAACACTGTCTGTATTGTGCAGGCAGACCTTCATTATCATTTGTAACTAGAATTGAATACTGTCTGTCTTAAAGTGGAACTACACTGCATCTGAGTGCCACAAACACTATTTTATTCATTTCTAATATTCAAAGCAAGCTTCCTGATCTATCCACGTCTCCATGCTTTGTTTTGCTGAGAAATCACTTTGAAAAACACCCCCTAGCATTTCTGGCCATGGCCACCTTGAGTAAGGGCAGATGATTCATGCAGCATTTATTTCCTGGAATCCATCTGCCTTTAGCTCAGACGTGCAGACAGGAAGGTATACTTAGCTGAGAAAACCACTCCTCCCCTCCTGAAAACTCCTGGGATATATGACGTTATATGACTAGACATGGAAATCAGAAAGTAACTGAAGTATTTAAAAAACAAGTAAATATAATGTATCTTCCTATCTATTTACTAATGCAAGCAAGATAAGGAATAAAAATAGTCAATGTTGATTGAGAGGAGGAAGTTCCACTTTAACAAAGGGTTAAAGGCAGGGGCGGACTGACCATTCGAGCACTCGGGCACTGCCTGAGGGCCCGGGGTCAGTCGGGGGCCCTATGAGATGCTCCTGGTACCTTTCATTGGATTTTTCATAGGCTTTTTGGGTGTGAGCAAGGACACAGGGGCCCCATGATCCCCTATTGCCCGGGGGCCCCATGAGTTGTCAGTCCACCCTTGGTTAAAGGTTTAGAGTCTGGGCTTCTTGTATGTTATGTATGCATTGTATGTTAATGAGAACATCTAAAAGATAAATATTAAATTAAGATAAATGGGAATACATAATAAACACATAGTGTGGTTTTCTAAATTTTGACTGAAAAAGTGGAAATTACGCTTTAAAGAGACTCTGTTACTTTGATTGGGTAAAATAATAGAATCTTTTGAAAACAATTTCCTTCTGCATTTGAGATTTATCCAGGCACAATGTTTTTATCATCTTTAAATATGATGCCTAACTGAAAAATGGTAATTGTAATTGGTGGTAGCCACCCAAATAAAGGGAAGTCTCAATATGTCACACAACTGTGTGATACCAGCTTAGCCAGACATTGCACCTATCACATACTACACATATATTACTACTTCAGTACCAGACACTTTCACCCCCATCCTGCCCAGGCCAATTTTCAGCTTATAGTGCTGTCATGGTTTGAATGACAATTACACAGTCATGCATCACTGTACCCAAATGAAATTTCTTTCCATTCTGTTCACACAAATAGAGCTGTCTTATGGTAGTACTTGATCACCACTGGGTTTTTTTATTTCTTGCTAAATAAATTAAAAAAGGCCGAACATTTTGAAAAAATAAAACACGTTTTTCTTCATTTCTGTTATAACATTTTGCAAATAAATAAGCTTTCTTCATAAATTTAGGCCAAAATTCAGCTATATTTATTTAGTAAAAATAATCCAAATCAGTGTACAGTATTCTATTTAGTCTGTAGGAAAGTCATAGAGTCCACAAACTGTGGTATATATATTTGAAAATCAATGAATCCTGATGTACTGACAGTCTCATTTCTTGAGGCCCCAAAATGCCAGGACAATACAAATATGCCCCAATTTACCCTTTTTGGAAAGTAGATAATCCAAGGTATTTTAGGGAAGGCAAATTTTTTGAAGTTGTAATTTTTTATCACAGTTTTTTTGAAAATGAATAAATTAAAAATATGTGTTTTATTTAACATTTGTTTCATACATACTGTGACCGGTGCAGTACAGCATCATCAACAAACTGGTGTGGCAATGATCAGGGACACTGACTGGTGATTCTGGGGAGGTGATCAGGATTTTTTTTTTTTTTTACACACTATGATCAGTTATAACAGTGATAATCACTGTTATAAGTAACCATTTGTTGTAAATGAATCCATTCATCAAGTGTGTATTGTTTTGATTAGCTGTGATTAGCTATGGCCAATCACATGGTACAGATAGACTGTGACTGGCCCTGTCTGTACCATGAGATCACTGTGACCAATCACAGCAAGCGACACAATAGTACACAGTGAATGGCTATGAATGGAAGCCATTCATTGTGTACAATTGGCATGTGATCTGCTGTAAATGGTCACTAAAAAAAATAATCTTTGATTTTGCAACCTTGTTCTGAGCACGGCAACTGCCTGAAGCCAAACCTGATCCTAAAATACTATATATAATATAATATTTTACAGCTGACAGCTTTAGCAAGGTTGCCCGTAGGCAAATCAGTTTTTTTGTATTCAATCAGTGGGATGAACAAAAAAAAACTGACTCAATTACCTCATCCACACACTTGAGATTGACAAGAGAATCCTCCCTGCTGTACTATTGTATTCTGACAGCAAGACTTCCCCACCATCAGAATACACTGATACACTGATCAGCTATAGTCTGCAGTGCTGATCAAGCAGGGAAAATTCGACATTGCGGTTATACAGAAGCTGATCAGTAAATCGACTTCTGTACAACCACAATACCCATACATGGAGCAAAATTCATCCGGTCGCTGCTGGACAGGCCACATTTGATCCATGTAAGGTCGACTTAGAGATTGGTAATAGCTCAAGAATTGTTAGCTCTCTTTTCTGAGTAATTAGTGACAAGTAGACAAAGGGACACTGGAAGCAGGAGAAAACCCATCACCAGACAAAGTGTGTGTGTGTGTGTGTGTGTGTGTAAGAGAGAAAGAACTTTGTTTTATGGAAGTAGCAGGCTTAGTACTGCCCATAGGAGATATTGTTTCTTAGTAAGGGCTGAGCAAAATATAATCTGGAAAATACCATTTATAATGAATACTGCTAATAAAATGAGTTGTTGACAATGTGCTTATGTCATTTCAGAAATAGCATCGCTCTTTGGCTTGTTGTACATTTATGGCCGGCATGTGTACTTTTTTGGCTATTCACAGTCTGCTAGGGGCAGGTAAGTTGGCCTCATAATCATGTGAATTGTTGTATTACTGTGTAACTTATTTCTGATATCCTCATTCTGATTTTATCTTCAATGCTATACCCATGCAAAATGTGAAGCACGTAATAAAATTGTTAGTGACAATAACTCCATTTTTCTATTGTCCACTTCTAAAAAAAAATCATGTCATTATGTACATTATGTACAATTCTGGAAATTGACTTAAATGGAAAGGACACTTTTTGTGTCCTATACTAACACGATCAAAACATCCATGTGTAAGTTTAATAGAAGGCAATATCAGCAAATATATATAACTAGTTCTGAATACCCAAGGATAAAGTGATATACTGCATATCTTCAGCAAAGTACATTAAATGAGAGATAAACCTTTTATTTCTTATGCCTATTGAAGCATAGGTGTAGGCAATTTTGTACCTAAATCCTGCGATCAAGAAAAACAAAACTGATTGTGAAACAGGAAAATTTCTAAAAGAAACCTTGTCCAAAAAAATTATCCCCCTATATCTGGCAGTATGGAATCCAAAAGTCTCCCTGACACTCTGAGAACACTTGCTACCTGCATGCTACACATGTAAGAATCAAGATCCATCCCTTCTGTCAGGAGGAATGTGATATTCTACGTCTCCAGCATGTAATTGTGTGTATACTGCATCTGCTACAACACCCCTATAAAAATAAGAAGTGAGCTTTGTTGAGGGTCATGGGTTCTGTGGCATAATACAATCTATACCAGTTTTTCCCTGAACTATGGCACTTTGCTTCACGTTAACTGGCCCTTTGGGATACTATTTCTATAAATAACACCAACCATGGAGATCTATTCCTCCCATGGACACCAACCATAGGGAACTATTCCTTCCACACTCTGTCCGGAACCATAAACCAGACGGAGACAGAAAGTGCAGTTAAAATCACACCTTTAATAAAACAGCAAAGAAAACACAGTTCATGAATGTAGCCAAAAACAGAAGCCGGGGTTTGGATGCCAGAGCAGGTAATCAGACGAGCCGCAGTCAGGAAACCAGAAGTCAGCGTAGTCAGGAGCAAAAATCAGGAACAGGAATTGGCAGATAAGTCAGCCAGACCAAGTTGTACACAGGGACACAGACAAGAACACACTAGAAATCATAGACTACGCAAAGGAAAGGAGGAAATGAGCTAAAGCTGCTAAAGTATCGAAAAAGGCTGGCTGTAGGCTGGACTAATGAGGCAGGTAATAGAATCCAGATGAGTCACTGTGGAGACAATAAGTGGCTGGTAATTAACCAACAGCTGAGCAGCTTCTGAGCACTGAAAGAAAAGAGCTGCTTGTTAAGTTGCAGGAGCCCAGCCCTGACACTGACACCAATAGGACATTTTACTACTACTAAGTACAGGTGCTAGCTAGGTTATTTTTCTCCCACTCTTTCCCAACCATAGACCTTTTTTTATTCCCTGACCACCATGCCTGCATTGTTTACTCCAACTGAAATCAGGTCATTTTCTACTCCCACTGTCCTTTCTCTAGCCCCCTCAAATCTTTGGAACATTAAAATGTGTGAAGAACCTTAATTTCCTGCTCATAAAATGTTACCTGGTATTTTAGACATGTAAGTCTCTTATGCACCAATAGAGGTAGACAAAAATAAATTGTCATGTGTGTTTTTCATTCACGCCTATATGCTGGGAGCAGCTCACAGTTTTGAAAACAAAATGAATGTGTGTTGTAAGACACAAAGCTACCTGTAAATTACCAGTTTTAAATGCAGCATAAACTAACTGAACAACTTGATAAGTTGGGGAAAAAAGATCACAATGAGTGCATGTTGGAATACCATGTTCATGTATTTCTGCGCAACAATGACATCAGTATTCAGTAGAGATATATTCTTCAACCAGTAGATGGCAGTGTTTGTAAGTTTGTAGCTATGTGTATGGTAAAACTCTATGTCTTTTTCCTGACTAAAATTTCTTGTTTCCTGCTTGCAGTGACGCAAGCTGATAATCACATAAGGACTCTATCAGTGCTGTATTTTGGCATTAAAAACAACATATATCTTCTCTGTGGTTGAAAACTATTTTATTTCCAGCTTCACCCACAAGTAATCTTTGTAATTTTGCATTGTTGCTGGAAAGATACAGTAGGTCCTATGATGGCTTCCTGAATCTTTCTTGGACCAACTTGAATTTCCAGGGTAGATCCTCCACAATGCAGAATATCCATATAACTGGGGAGGTCATCTACAAGAGAGTGATACCATTATGGCCTTGAGGCAAATCAAACCACTGTAGTCTCCAAGAAATACAGCAATCTGGTGGGTGAGTGAACCCACCCAAACCTCAGATATCAGCAGGAGACAGGTGATAAACTAATAACACAGGGGTCATCATGCCAGTGATCAATAATGTGCTGTAGTCATATTGTTTGTTTTATGCACTCATAGTTGTACTGCTAATTGCAAGTTAAATACATTCATTATATGTTAACTGGTGCAAAACATGTTCATATTTAGACCTCAGATCAGCCTCATTGCATGCACCTTGAGACCTCAGATCAGCCCTAATTCATGTACCTTCAGATCTCAGATCAGCCCCAATACATGCACCATCAGACCCCGGATCAGCTTCAAGGCATGCACCTTTAGACCTCAGTTCAGCCATAATACTTGCCCATTCAGACATCAGATCAGCCCCAACCCATGCATCTTCAGACTTCAGATCAGTCTCACTGCATGTACCTTCAGACCTCAGATCAGTCTCAATGCATGTACCTTCAGACCTCAGATCAGTCTCAATGCATGCACCTTCAGAACTCAGATCAGTCTAAATGCATGCACCTTCAGACCTCAGATCAGTCTCAATGCATGCACCTTCAGACCTCAGATCAGTCTCAATGCATGCACCTTCAGACCTCAGATCAGTCTCAATGCATGCACCTTCAGACCTCAGATCAATCTCAATGCATGCACCTTCAGACCTCAGATCAATCTCAATGCATGCACCTTCAGACCTCAGATCAATCTCAATGCATGTACCTTCAGACCTCCGATCAGTCTCAATGCATGCACCTTCAGACCTCCAATCAATCTCAATGCATGCACCTTCAGACCTCCGATCAATCTCAATGCATGCACCTTCAGACCTCCGATCAATCTCAATGCATGCACCTTCAGACCTCAGATCAGTCTCAATGCATGCACCTTCAGACCTCAGATCAGTCTCAATGCATGCATTACCTTCAGACCTCAGATCAGTCTCAATGCATGCACCTTCACACTTCAGATCAGCCCCAAATCCTTCACCCTAAGACCTCAGATCAGCCCCAAACCCTTTACCTTCAGAAATGCAAGGGTTTTACATACCTATTGCAGGATTCAAACAAGAGAGAAAAAGGAGCATAGGCAAAGTGTAGGCATGCATGCAGGCTTCTTAAGCCTGGTACATGTGCTAAATATCGGCTGGTATCAGCCGGTTCAACAGAAACGGCTGACATTTGGCCTGTATGTACAGCAGCCTGTATGACAGAAGCTGGCTGAAAAACAGCAACCGATCAGCAGTCCCCCCTGTCAGGACACAGTAGCTCAATGGGGAGTTCCTTGCAGTCTCCTCAGCTTTTTCTTACATTCAGCCTGCTTAATAAGTTGGACCTAGTGAGCTGTCAGTTACAGCCAATGACAAGAGGTGCCAGAGAAAGAGGCATCGTAGGATGGAGGTTGCTGATGCCTGTAATATGTACAGCATACATTCTGCCTGCCAATGTAGTGTTTCTTTAGTAAATGCAGTCTTCTCATAACATACCAACAGTGGTAGAACATTGTTCGAATGATCAATTACTATAACATTCGAGCTTTCCATTGAGCATAAATAAGGTTTGACTTGCCAATTTAGTGATTCTTTAATGTGTGTCAGACATGGCTAACCCTGGTTTCGTTATATTTTTTAGGCTCCGTGGATTTGCTTTTTGCAGGTGGGCATTGATATTTCTACTGATCATGTCTGCAACTGGAGTCACTAACGGTCTATTAGACAAGTACCTCCATTTGAATCTGCTGAAAAAAATACATCACCTGATATTAGAATAAAAGAAGAAGACTCATAAGATTACTAAATGTTTTAAAAAATAATTTGTATCATACTTTCTACAGCGAGGATGGGGAAGATTTAAATTGGCTTCGTTATAAATGTATGTTGGAAAATGCAGGGCAATGGTGCAACTCCATGTATTAGTTCCTACTATAAAAATAATGGAAAGCATTACATAATATGCATCAAGAATGCGTACATCTCACCAAATGACCTTTTCCTTTTGTGTCTCGGGGATAGGAAGTGCAAGGAAATCTTCTCATTGAAACACTGAACACAAAAAGGAAAACCCTATCAGGAGATCTAACTGTTCCATACTCTATCCAAACTGAAAAAAGGTTTTGGCTTTAGACAAGCATTTAATATGCCAATAACCCATCTGTGTATGGGCGCTACCCCACCTAATAATCAACTATTTAGATACTCAGCAGCCAAAAAAAAAATAATCTGTTAGCTCAATGACGTGTACTTGTGCTTTTATGTGGTTACGAAGCAGTTATTTGTTTTGCCTTTGTACAATGTTTGCACTCTGGAAGGCTGGTGAAGGTGCAGATTTTACGAAATTGTAAGATATAGCCATGCATGGCTAAGGTCTTGTTCACACTAGACTTCTTCCCAAACGCTCCTATAGCGTTTGACAGGCGTTAGACAGGCATTTGGGGAGCGTTTTTAATGCTCCTCAAATGCTCCCCAAACGCCCTATGGGTGTTTTTGAGGCGTTTCATAGGCGTATTCCATGCATTAAAACCACACCACAAACGCCTATAATGAAGTTAATGGTAAAACCGCCCCGCAAACGCTTGCTAGGCGTTTGAAGGGCGTCACCATAGACTTGAATGAGAGGCATTGAAAGGCTTCAACTCCTCCTGATTCAACATGAGGTGTCAATTTTGCCATGACACTAACGCTTCAGTGCGAACAGCACTGTGTACTGCCATGTGTATCATTTTCATATGCGTTTGAGGAGCGTTAAAATCGCCCCTCAAACGCCTGCAAAATGCCTGCTTACAAAGCTAGTGTGAACTGAGCCTAAGTGTTTAAAATAATGAATGCTGCTTTTGGCAGTTTGAATGACTATGGGCCTGTGTCGATGGGCTTTTGTTTGCCTCAGACGATTTTGCATTTCCATACAAGTCTATGGGAATGCAAAATGTGCTTGAATTCTGTCAAATGGTGGACGCAAGGTGGTCTATTGCACCTGTCAATGTATTCAAAATGATCTTAGAAGTATCCTAAACTGCTAACATTGACACAGGCCCTATTTGTTATCAGCTTTCCCAACCAAATCTACATATGGTGGCCTTTATTACTAGTTCATGATTTTCAAATCCTACCTCTTCCTAGGAACCCTTAATAAGGGACACTAAGTGCAATTATTTGCAGGGACAACAGAAAGCCTTACTGAGCCACCTCACCCACCACCTTCCAATTGGAAAGCATGCCTTGGCCTCATCCAATGAGAAGCCAAATATAATGAAATCAAACAGCTAGCTTGAGTTATTTTTTTTTTTAGTTGAATGGTTTAGTTTTCTTTTGGAAATGATTATTTCACAATGTAATGAGATAAAATCAAGTAGATTTTTTTAAGGTAGAGTGTAACTCATCTGGTACTTTAGGACTCTAACCAGATACTCCATATAGTGTGTGATCCCAGTAAACAATGTAGGATCAGATCTTATATAGGACTGTGTTGAACTCCAAGAAGATTTTAAAAAAGTGAATGCAGTTGTACACCACATTTTTGCACACCTCTCCATCACTCTTTGTTGCTTCATCTTCTATCTCAGCCACCAAGATAACACATCAGCTGGTACTGGAGCTCAGAAGAAAATGCAACCTAACCCTCTCCATCTTGTCTTAGTGGCTTGCACTGGATATTTTGCAGTGTGGCCATAGAAGAAGTGGTAGAGGGAACACTGGTTAAGGAAATATAAATTACTGGTGGTGGGCTTTACTGAAACATGGACTTTGACTTGAATGGGCAAGATGGCAGTGTCTCTTTAAAGTAGAATTCCCTAATAACCCTAACTAATCTTAAAAAATACTCCCTCCAACCTCCTAACAGCTATGCTTACTAGCCTGTGTAAGATGCATATACTTACCTGGTTTTATGCCACTTTGGTCTGGTCATGTGATCTGGCTCCTCTGTGTCTGGCAGGGGGGATGAGGTAGCACCAACAATGGATGGGCCATTGAAGCTTATGGGTGATGTCACCAATCCAGGCTTTACCAGGTGTTAGGAGGGTGAAGGAAGTACTTGTAACACTAGTTAGGGTTACCCAGAATTTTACTTTTATATTTTTACATTCAACTTAGGTGTTTAAATCTGTTTTAATATCACCCTTTTGTCATCCCTTTCAAAACAATACTCAGACTAATAGAGGGTGGGGCAACAAAAGAAGATAATTTTGCTCTGTTGTACTCACATGTACTGACAGGGAACACGCTGACAGGAGAGTGCTGAGTAAAGCAGGCCATACACTGCTTAGCATGGATGGGGAAATCAATGGGTTTTAAACAACAGAATTCAGAGCTTCCCACATGGAAGGAAAATATATTTGAAATATATTTTAAAAATATTCTTCCCAAATATATTGACATATATTTGAAATGCTACAATTTTGGCCATATTCAATATATTTCAAAATATATTTCAATATATATATTAAAAAAAAAAAAAAAATATATATATATATATATTAAAATATATATTTTTTACAATATATTCTTCAGATTTTTTTTAACATATAAAAGAATCATTTTTTACATATATTTGTAAATGCATTCCAAAAATGTAGATTTGTATTTTTAATGACATACAGTATATTTGAAATGTATTTTTAAAAATATTTTTTCATATATTTTGTAATAAAAACGAGTTTCTACATGCAGTGTGTGTGTGTATGTATGTATGTATATATATATATATATATATATATATATATATATATATATATATATATATATATATATATATATATTTAGTGAAATATATTGAATATGACCATTGTAGCACTTCACATATATGTCAATATATTTGGGGAAGAATATTTTAAAAATATATTTCAAATATATTTTTCTTCCATATGGGTTGCATTGCCAGTTTAAGCAAAGCTGATGACTTATCAGTGTGTTTTTGCTCCTTTGTTGTCGAATCTACAAGCTGCGGACAGCAGATGACAGCACTGTATGACTTAAGTATGACAGGGAAAGTGGTGTCATTCATTGTGCTGTCTGGTAGAGGTGTATGAATTAGAAAAGTGGCTGAATGGAACTACAAATCCTTTGGAAGATAAGACAGTTTATGTGTGTATTTAGAATGTGTATATGCCTGTTTGCCTGGAGTTTGGCTTTAATCCTTGCCCAGGCCAAGCATGTTTCTTCTATAAAAATATTTTAGTAAAAAAAAAAAAATATACAGTTTGAAAAAGTGGTCAAAACCTGTGCCTGGTGGACCACTCATGACTCTCATATTATGCTGTCAGCAGCCTCAGTTGTTGCTGAGCATTTTAATGTCACATTTGAACATTTACTTCTGATAAAGCCTGTCTAATGTATAAGATGTTTTACTCCAGCATTTTTTTATATTACATTGTGTCTCACAAACAAAAAGGGCAAAAGGTTTTAAAACATATATTGAATGCATGTTCTTTGTTCAGTTATACATTGTTATCTTAATATATTTTTTACAATAAAGGTAAACTTTTTCAAGGCTGTTGGTGATTAACATAATCTCTGTAGTTTAACACTTACAGTGATTCTAAACACACACTGTATCATTTACATTATCCCTTCTCTGCTGCTGGGAAGAAGCTGAGCGTGGAGTTGGGAAACAGAAAGTGCAGGGTCTGGAGGAGGACCAGAGGAGGGCTGGAGTCAGCTGCCGAAGTCTGCTGAATGCTGAGACCAGGGGAGGCGGAGATGAGGGGAGCTGCAACTGCAGAAGAGGTGCAAGGGCCACATGAAATGGCCTGGGGGTCCATATTTGGCCTGTGGGCCTTGTGTTTGACACGTGCTCTACAGGATCTACAGTTTCTCAAGAGGTGCTGCACTAAAGTGTCTTGGAACTATGCCTAAGCCATTCCATAATCTTCCATGGCCACTTTCCTTGCACCATAATCTCTACTTCTATATTGCACATGACCTTACAAATGTCTTTTTGGCTGATTGGGCACAAATGTGACACATTTTGATATTGAGTGTAGTGATTATATCCATGTTAAGGCCCATGGTTTAGGAATGGTTTAGGAATGGTGTCACCAGACAGCTCACATCCCTTTTTCTGATTACACTACACCAGCAGAGCCAGTGGGGTTTACAACCCTCCTCCTCTCTCCCTCTGAGCTGAGCCTGGTGTGGGGATGGGCAGAAAAATATTGGAGCCTGCAGCTCCAGCTCTCTATTCCCTCTGCTGTGTCTCTCACAGCAGAACAGCCCCTTCGTTAATTTTGAGCAGTATCTTCTCTATTTTGCCACTGTTCACTGCCAATAATAGACACCCGAGGCATTCCCAGCTCCGCATTTATACTGTATAAGTAGCATGTATATGTGCAGCTGTGGGGTAGAGAATGCCTCAGCTGCTTATGATTGACTGTCAGCAGTGGCTGCTTCCTGGCAGGATAGCTCATGCGGGTTCAGACTCATGTCCAAACACACCTGAGTGCATCCCTAATTTTAATACTGTTTTGATAACAATTTTTAATTTTTGTTAAATACAAACCATCAGTCAGGTTTCAGGGAATTTACTGAAACTGTGAGCCATATCTGATGCTGCACACATGCACCCATACATAAAATGATATGCACTGTAAAAACACACACAAATATATATATATATATATATATATATATATATATATATACAGGCCTGGACAAATGTTTTGAGAATGACACAAATATAAATTTTCACAAAGTCTGCTGCTGCAGTGTTTTTAGATCTTTTTGTCAGATGTTACTATGGTATAATGAAGTATAATTACAGGCATTTATTGGCAAATACATTAGGTTTATACAAAGAGTCAATATTTGCAGTATTACATAGTAAAATAGTTAGTCTGGCTGAAAAAAGTCCATACAGTTCAATCATTAAAAAAAAAAAAAGTTGTAAGCCTATACCCACTATACTCTTCTTTTTCAAGACCTCTGCAATTCGCCCTCGCATGCTGTCAATCAACTTCTGGGCTACATCCTGACTAATGGCAGCCCATTCATGCTTGGAGTTTGTCAGAATTTGTGTGGGTCTTTTTGTTCTTCCGCCTTTTGAAGATTGACCACAAGTTCTCAATGGGATTAACCACTAGCCTACAGGGCACTTATACCCCCTTCCTGCCCAGGCAAATTTACAGCTTTCAGCGCTGTTGCACTGTGAATGACAATTGCGCGGTCATGCAACACTGTACCCATATGAAATTTTTATCATTTTTTTGAAACAGACAGACCTTTCTTTTGGTGGTATTTAATCACCTCTGGAATTTTTATTTTTTCTTAAACCGAAAACCACTGAAAATTTTGAAAAAAAAACGTTTTTTTCTTAGTTTTTGTTATAAAATTTTGCAAATAAGTGATTTTTCTCCTTCGCTGATGTGCGCTAATGAGGCTGCCGTGATGAGCACTGATAGGCTGCACTGATGGACACTGATAGGTGGCACTGATGAGGAGGCACTGGAAGGTTGCACTGATGGGCATTGACAGGCATCACTGATGGGCACTGAAAGGCGGCACTGACTGGCACTGATAGGCGGCACTGATGCGCACTGATAGGCGACACTGACTGGCACTGATAGGTGGCACTGATTGGCAGCACTGATAGGTGGCACTGATTGGCAGCACTGATAGGTGGCACTGACTGGCACTGATGGGTGACATTGAAAGGCAGCTCAGATGGGCACTGGTATGCACTGATATGTGGCACTGATGGGCACTGGCATGTGGCATTGATGAGCACTGACTGCTGGCACTGATGGACACTGACAGGTGGCACTTCTGGGGCCACACTGATCATCAGGGCACACTGATCATCAGTGCCCTGATCATCAGTGTACATGTCCCCTCTGCGGAAAGCCAATTACCGGCTCTCCTCTCCTCTCAAGCTGTCAGCGTGACAGCTCGAGAGGAGAGAAATGCCGATAACCGGCATTTCCGTGTTTACATGTGATCAGCTGTGATTGGACACAGCTGATCACATGACCGAGCCGACATCTTCAGCTCTTTCCGTGATCCGCTTTGTTCGAGGGACACAGTGCACCGGCGAATGCTGCGCTGCACGCTCCCTGAGCCGCGCATGCGCGGTGAGAATGGAAGGACGTCATATGACGTCCTATCAGAACGAGAGAACCACCTTGCACCCGTCATTGTACTATAGGGTGGGCGGAAGGTGGTTAAGGTCTACGGAGTTTCTAGGCCGTGGACCCAAAATTTCAATGTTTTGTTCCCCAAGCCACTTAGTTATCACTTTTGTCTTATGGCAAGGTGCTCCATCATGCTGAAAAAGGCATTGTTCGTCACCAAACTGTTCTTGGATGGTTGGGAGAAGTTGCTGTCGGAGGATATTTTTGTACCATTCTTTATTCATGGCTGTGTTCTAAGGAAAAATTGTGAGTGAGCCCACTCCCTTGGCTGAGAAGCAACCCCACACATGAATGGTCTCAGAATGCTTTACTGTTGGCATGACACAGGACTGATGGTGGTGCTCACCTTTTCTTCTCCAGACAAGGTTTTTCGCCGATGCCCCAAACAATCAGGAGATTCAGAGAAAATTACTTTACCCCAGTTCTCCACAGTCCAATCCTTGTATCTTTTGAAGAATATCAGTCTGTTCCTGACGTTTTCCTGGAGAGAAGTGGCTTCTGTGGTGCCCTTTTGACACCAGGCCATCCTCCAAAAGTCTTTGCCTCACTGTGCATGCAGATGCACTCCCACCTGCCTGCTGCCATTTCTAAGAAGCTCTCCACTGGTGGTGCCCCGATCCCACAGCTGAATGAACTTTAGGAGACGGTTCTGGCGCTTGCTGGACTTTCTTGGGCACCCTGAAGCCTTCTGCACAGTAACTGAACCTCTCTACTTGAAGTTCTTGATGGTCCGATAAATGGTTGATTTAGGTACAATCTTATTAGCAGCAATATCCTTACCTGTGAATCCCTTTTTGTGAAAAGCAATAATGATTGCACATGTTTCCTAGCAGATAAATTAATATTTGTGTAATTCTCAAAACTCTTGGCCTGGATTGTATTACACTGCTCAAAAGAATTAAAGGAACACTTTTTAATCAGAGTATAGCATTAAGTCATATTGATCTGGGATATTGATCTGGTCAGTTAAGTAACAGAGGGGGTTGTTAATCAGTTGCAGCTGCTGGGGGTCAGACAACCCCCAAAACAGGAATGGTTTTACAGGTGGAGGCCACTGACATTTTTTTCCCTACTCATCTTTTCTGACTGTTTTTGACTAGTTTTGTATGTGGCTAGGGTCAGTGTCACTACTGGTAGCATGAGGCGATACCTGGACCCAACAGGGGCAGTCCAACTCCTCCAAGATGGCACATAAATATGTGCCATTGCCAGAAGGTTTGCTGTGTCTCCCAGCACAGTCTCAAGAGCATGGAGGAGATTCCAGGAGGCAGGCAGTTACTCTAGGAGAGCTGGACAGGGCCATAGAAGGACCTTAACACATCAGCAGGAATTGGTATCTGCTCCTTTGCGCAAGAAGGAACAGGATGAGCACTGCCAGAGCTCTACAAAATGACATCCAGCAGGCCACTGGTGTGAATGTCTCTGATCAAACAATCAGAAACAGACTTCATGAGGGTGGCCTGAGGGCCTGACATCCTCTAGTGGGTCGTGTGCTCACTGCCTGGCACCATAGAGCTTGACTGGCATTTGCCATTGAACTCCAGAATTGGCAGGTCTGCCACTTGCACCCTGTGCTTTTCACAGATTAGAGCAGGTTCACCCTGAGCACATGTGACAAATGTGAGAGGGTCTGGAGAAGTCATGGAGAATGTTACGCTGCCTGTGACATCGTTCAGCATGACCATTTTGGTGGTGGGTCAGTGATGGTCTGGGGAGGCACATCCATGGAGAGACGCACAGACCTCTACAGGCTAGACAGTTGCAGCCTGACTGCCATTAGGTATCAGGATGAAATCCTTGGACCCACTGTTAGACCCTATGCTGGTGCAGTGGGTCCTGGGTTCCTCCTGGTGCATGACAATGCCCGGCCTAATGTGGTAAGAGTATGCAAGCAGTTCCTAGAGGATGAAGGAATTGATACCATTGAATGGCCCCCACGCTCGCCTGACCTAAATCTAATAGAACACCTGTGGGATATCATGTTTCAGTCTATTCGATGCTGCCAGGTTGCACCTCAGACTGTCCAGGAGCTCAGTGATGCCCTGGTCCAGATCTGGGGGAAATACCCCAGGACAACATCCCTCATCTCATTAGGAGCATGCCCCAATGTTGTCAGACTTGCATTCAAGCACGTGGGGGCCATACAAACCACTGAGTACCATTTTGAGTTGCTGCAATGAAATTTCATCAAAATGGACTAGTCTGCTGCATCATTTTTTCACTTTGATTTTTGGGGTATCTTTGAATTTAGTCCTCTGTAGGTTGATAATTTTCATTTCCATCAAACGATGGAGCATCCTTACGTTCCTAACACATTACCCAGTCCCTATTAGTATAGATATGCAGCATATTTTTCCTCATTGAGATCTGATGTGTTTTCAAAATGTTCCCTTCATTTTTTAGAGCAGTGTGTGTGTATGTATATATATATATATATATATATATATATATATATATATATATATATTTACAGTGGGTAAAATAAGTATTGAACACTTTTCACCACATGCCAGTAACAACCCATGCAATCCATACATACAAAGAAACCAAAACAAATAAGTTTAAAAATTGAGTTATCTGTAATATAATGGAATGACACAGGGAAAAAGTATTGAACATATGAAGAAAGGGAGGTGCAAAAAGGCATAGAAAGCCAAGACACCAGCTGAAATCTATCAGTAATTAGAAATCAATACTGCCCCTTTTCAGTGCAAATTAATCCGCTGGTTTAGTCTCTACTGATGGCCTATAAAAAGGAGTCTCATTACCAAGGTGTCCCACAAGAATGATGGGTAAAAGCAAAGAGCTCTCTGAAGACCTTTGCAACCTTATTGTTGCAAAACATACCGATGGCATTGGTTACAGAAGGATTTCTAAACTTCTGAATGTTCTAGTGAGCACTGTTAGGGCCATAATCCTGAAGTGGAAAGAACATAATTTCACTATAAACCGGCCAGGTGCTCCTCCCAAGATTTCTGACAGAGAAGTGAAAAGAATTATCAGAAGAGTTGTCCAAGAGCCAAGGACCACTTGTAAAGAGCTTCAGAAAGACCTGGAATTAGCAAATACAATTGTTTCAAAGAAAACAATAACTAATGCTCTCAACCACCATGGCCTGAATGCACACTCGCCATGCAAGACTCCATTGCTGAAGTAAAAGTATGTTAAAGTTTGCTGCACAACATTTAGACAAGCCTGTGAAATACTGGGAGCATATAGTCTGGTTAGAAGAGACCAAAATTGAACTCTTTGGATGCCATAATACACAGCATGGTGGGAGGTCAAATGGCACTGCACATCACCCCAAAAACACCATACCTACAGTGAAGTCTGGAGGTGGGAACATCATGGTGTGGGGCTGTTTTTCAGTATACGATAAAAATCTGCTGCCATCTACTAGAATGATGAAGATGAAACGAGGGTGGACATTTCAGCAAGACAATGATCCCAAACACAAAGCCAAGGAAACTCTTAATTGATTTCAAATAAAGAAAATAAAGCTGCTAGAATGGCCCAGCCAATCACCTGACTTGAATCCAATAGAAAATCTATGGAAAGAACTAAAGATCAGAGTTCATAGAAGAGGCCCATAGAACCTTCAGGATTTGAAGACTGTGTGGCAGAATGGGCCAAAATCACATTTGAGCAATGCATGTGATCTGGTTTCTCCATAAATGAGGCGTCTTGAAGCTGTCATTACCAAAAAGAGATTTTGTACGAAGTATTAAATACATTTCAGTTAGCGTGTTTAATACTTTTTCTCTGTATCATTCCATCATATTACAAATATCTTCATTTCTGAGCTTATTTGTTTTGGTTTCTTTGTATGTATGGATTGCATGGGTTGTTACCGATGTGATGAAAATGTAATGTCTTCATTTCAATAGCACCTTTGGAAATATATTTACTGAGAAAAATGGTGACGTGTACATATATATATATATATATATATATATATATACAGTATACACACACTATATTGCCAAAAGTATTGAGACACCCCTCCAAATCATTGGATTCAGGTGTTCCAATCACCTGTATGGCCACCGGTGTATAAAATCAAGCACCTAGGCATGCAGACTGCTTCTACAAACATTTGTGAAAGAATGGGTCGCTGTCAGGAGCTCAGTGAATTCAAGTGTGGTATCGCGATAGGTTGCCACCTTTGCAATCCGTCCATCCGTGAAATGTCCTTGCTACTAAATATTCCACTGTCAACTGTTAGTGGTATTATAACAACGTGGAAGCAACTGGGAACAATAGCAAGTCAGCCACTAAGTGGTAGGCCACGTAAAATGACAGGGCGGGGTCAACGCATGCTGAAGCGCACAGTGTGCAGAAGTCGCCAACTGTCTGCACAGTCAATAAAGACCTCCATGAGTTCCATGGAATGGGTTTCCATGGCCGAGCAGCTGCATCCAAGCCTTACATCACCAAGTGCAATGCAAAGTGTCGGATTCAGTGGTGTAAAGCACAATTCCACTGGACTATAGAGCAGTGAAGATGTGTTCTCTGGAGTGACGAATTATGCTTCTCTGGCAATCTGATGGACGTGTCTGGGTTTGGCAGTTACGGTACTTGCCTGACTGCATTGTGCCAAGTGTAAAGTTTGGTGGAGGGGGGATTATGATGTGCGATTGCTTTTCAGGGGTTGGGCTTGGCCCCTTAGTTCCAGTGAAGGGAACTCTTAAGGCGTCAGCATACCAAGACATTTTGGACAATTTCATGCTCCCAACTTTGTGGGAACAGTTTGGGGATGGCCCCTTCCTGTTCCAACATGACTGCACATCAGTGTACAAAGCAAGGTCCATAAAGACATGGATGAGCGAGTTTGGAGTGAAGGAACTTGGCTGGCCTGCACAGAGTCCTGACCTCAACCAGATAGAACACCTTCGGGATGAATTAGTGTGGAGACTG